TAAGAGTGGGTGGGAATATGAGGGTACTTGGACTATACTCTTGGATTTTCATTGACTCTGCAGACACTATGAGGGTTGAAGTGAAAACCCAAAGCTAGCAACTGAGTAAGTATCTTTGCTGCTGCTGCTTTTGGTCTTCCTGAAGCCCTCCCTGATATCTGTGCATGCCAACTGACCCCTTCCTGTCCTTTTACAAGTCTAGATACCCTATATTTATATCCCATTTCTTTCTTTCTAATGACTTCTCCTTTCCTACATCTGTGTTTTGCATGCCCTGGTGAACTGAGCTTGGGTGTGTCAAAAGGTGAGGACAGGAGAGGAATATAGAAATGGTGTAGTAGTGTTTTATTTTAACTTCAGTATTTTTTGAGTAAGCTGAAATGATGTGAAGCTAATAATCATGCTTAAATACTGTAGAAGTCATGTATGGATGTATTGTGGTCAAACTATTTATACTTATATAAACTGATCAAATTAATAGCTGGTTTCATTACTCCAGACTGACTCTGCTTGTGAAAGTGGGGAGCTGCAGAACATGGCTTTCAGTTTTTAAATAGCTGCCATTGAACTTGTGTGATCTCGCGTGTAAACTTGTCAGTTCTTTCCAGGTGTGCCATCACCTGCATGTACACCTAAGGCTTCTTTGAGACTTAGCAGATGCTCTCACATGAAAGGGGCAGTACTCAGTCCTGAAGTGTACCAAGAGTGCCCTGTAAAGCCTCATATGGGACCAAAGCTATCAAGTATGCAAGCAGGGAAGAGGTCCTCTGAATCTTCTAATTTTGCCAATGTTGGTGTTTTGTAGACATGGAATGTGCACACACCTTCGTGCCACCAGCTGGGGGGGGGGCTCAAATTGATGCCAAACATCACATCTGTATTCCAAAAGGTATCAGTGCAGGACCTGGCAGCTGGAGCCCTTTCAGCTACAGTTCATCCCTCCCTTTTCACCTAAAGCAGAGTGACTTGTAGGAGAAAACAATTCTTAGACTGAGCAGATGAAATTCCTAGCTCTGTTCTGGCATCAAAACCTTAATGTATTTGGGACCTGTGCTTTCTCAACATTATTGTCCCTGCGTGCCTGTTTTTTATTTGCCATATCGCTCTTTACTCCTGATTCTATCACCTTGACCAGAGGCAGAGCTTATGGAACTGGCTGGCGGCCAGGTAATGCAGCAGAACAGACAAGTGGCTGTGTGTCAGCTTACAGAAACTTGCTTGTTTTGCAGCTAGCAGTAAGCAAGGCAGCAGTGAGCTGCTTCTGCAGCCTGTGCAGCAGCAGCAACCTTGCTGTCTGCAGAACATAGTGCAGTTACACAGGGACAGTTTGTAGGTAAATTATGGTGGGAACTTGATTCCAAAGGAAACGTTTTACCTAACGATTGACAAGTGGTACCCTGGCTGATTCCAGGCAGACAAACCTGGATGCATACATCAAGCTGCATGACTCTTAACGTTACCTGTTAGTGTGAAGGGAGCCATCTATAGTCTGTAGTCTGACCTGACCCATGCTCTCTCCCTGTCTCTCTCTCTATCCTGTGGGTGGTGCAGCATATCTGCAGTTAAAATGTGAGTTAAAAACACATGCTAACTTTGATAGGAGGGGGAGATATTGGGAGAGAGGAGGCTCTACAGGCAGGAGGTGCTTCTTCAAGGCAGTGTACTGTCCCATGCCATGTAATGCACTTCTTTAATTTTCTGTTGGTTTTTTTTTCTTTCTTTTTTTTCTCAAGTATCTGTGTAGAGGAATTGTGCCCAACTGTCTAGTAACGCTGTGATCATTGTAAACACTAATTAAGATACCGATTTTTTTGATGTTCTCAATACTAAGTTCTCAAATAAACGGCTTCCGGGCCCTATTTCCACAAAACATCTGACTCCAGAGCCTTTTTTTTCCCCTCTCTTCCTTTCTTGGTTACGTTTTCCACTTGCCAGAGCCACTTTTATCACGTACACAAATGGCTTGGAGAAATGCAGTCATCTGAGAGCAAAGGACTGTGATCTGCCTGCTTCCTGCCTTACTGACCCTCTTGATTTTCTTGCTTTATTTCATCTGCTTCAGGAAGTTTTAGTTCTCCTGGCCAATCTCATCCATCCCATGACAGCACCCCTGCTTTTTAGCAGCATCTAGTTCTCTTGGCACAACAGTAGCAAACATTAGAGAAGAGTGCATAGAGAAGGATGAGAGTTTTGTGCACGTTGCAGGAATTTATTCAGAGTAGAGCTACACGTAAGCCATTCTTGGTCAGCCTTTAATCCTAAGGTATTGTGCTATCCTTAAGATTGTCCAACTCTTCCTTGGTAAATAGAAAAGTAGTTTTCTGGATGATTAATTGGCTGCCCAGAGGATTGGATGGCACTAACATGTTGAGGTTGAGATTTGGGGTTGTTGAGTAGCAGAGGCTTTGGAAGTCCAATCCAAAAAAGTAGAAATGCTACTGACAAGATTATAGTTGTAAGTGATGAATGACTGTAATGTATTCCACGCTCTTTCAGCGAAAAGCAGCCAAAAATCAGCAAGCCAGAAATGCTGTTCTTCTGTGCAGCAAGGAGCTGTGTAAAGATGGATCCTTTTGCACAAGAGTAGGAAAGGCACAAAGTTAGGAAAAAAGTAATGTTCACAAGTGATGCTCTGATTTGACCTTTCGTAGACACTGTGAGTGGTAGATATTGCTGTTTCTGAGAACTGTATCATAGTTCTGACCTGCACTTCTTATTTCCTTTCAAATCCATTTTCCCTTTTGGAGGTCAGTATGTCCATTTGCTGTTCATGTCTGTATGTGTGGTGAGGCAAATGTCTCTGTATGTGCACCAAAGGACTCTGCACGTTTGCGAAGCGTGACACCCTTCCCAGGTCCTCTGGAACCTGAAGAGGTTGGGCACTTTCTGCTGCAAGATTGACGAGTTCCTGGCTGCTGTTAAAGGCATGGCCTGCTTGCAAGCACCAGAGGCTGATCGGCTCAGATGTTGTTCAGCCTGATTAAGCTGGTCGGGATTGTTGATGTCTGCCTCATACTAGCAGATAAGTAGTTTTATAAGATATTTTAAATTATGATCTTAAATCTGTACTGCTGCTTCTGCGTGTGCTAGCACTGTGTGATATTGCTGCATCACATCTCTAATCTCCGTGAGAGAGTGGCACGTGCATAAATCATTTGACAGCACTGAGGTAGATGTATTCCTCCTCTCCCTGTCTTACTACTGGCTTTTCTCTCTGACAGATGAAAAACCAGGTTTCTATTCTCATCTGTCTCAGTGTTTTCATCAGAAGTGAGATCAAACCTCCAAATGTTGCAGTTTGATTACAGGCTGCAAAGTCTGGTAATCTCCATTTAAAAATGTATCTGTATATTCCCTTCATATTCTGTTAGTATTTTGTCATTGCTTATTTGACAAGAGTATTGCCTGTTTCTAATTAAAGAACCTCACAGGAGATCCTTGATGTATCTTGCTCAAATTCTAGACTTTTTCATGTACGTCACTCAGTTGTTAAAAAGCAAAACAAAGTTCCCATGCTTTCAGCATTGCTCCCTTCTTAAAGCAATCATTTAGAGGCTATGAGAACACAAGTGAGACTCCAAAGCAGATTCTGCTGGGGTAACGTGATGAATGGAACTGCACTCTGCAAGGAGGAATGGGAAGAAGGTAGAAATTGGTGTCATTTTGTGAGAGATGGTTCACTTTGGGCTGATCCTTAAATTGTGAACCACCGCAAAGGTACATCACGAAATCTGAGTATCAGAAGTTAATTGCTGATTTATTTGCGTATTAACTATATGCTGTGGCAGTTCTGACTGCAACAACTGCATAAAATGCCAAGTCCTGTCAGATAGTTATATTACCAGTGGAAGTTGGTGGTACTTAAAAACCAAGTTAACTGATGCAGGTATCTTTAGGCGCATTTTGTCAGTTCTCTCTCATCTTGTGTTCTCGGATTGGTATCACTGTTTTACAGCTCCCTTCTTTCACTTGCAAATAACCTATTGGAAACAAAGATCTAGGAATACAGTTGAAATTTCTGTTGCCAATTTGAAATGTCTTCAGAGACTGTGATAGAGATGCTGTTTTATACATTAGAAGTGAGACACTGGAGAGTGCGCTGCAGGAGCACAGTTCCCTCTGCATGACTATAATAGTACATATTAGTGATATATGAAGATATTAGATATATGAAGAAAGGAAAATTTAATGGCTTTGGCCTTGGTTTAGGGTTGAGAAAGCCAGGTTTGTGTCTGTGTTCTATTGTAGGGTTTTTGTGTGACCCTGGACAAGTTACTTAGTTCTTTTCGCTTCTTCCTATCTGTAAGATGATGGTGATGAGTCCAACAGAAATATAACAAAGGCAATTGTATCAAAGGGGCGTGAATGTTAGTTTTAACATGGAAATGTGCCTAAATCTTTATCTAACTGTTCATAAAAACACTCTCCTCTGTGCTGACGTCAGAAGTAAGATACTGATTCTGGTTTGTGAAGACAAGCAGATAACCACTTGTTTCCCATAAACACAAGATTTCTAAGTATGTATTTTATGTATGCATACAGCAAATATCAAGTACACTCTGTTACTGGTGTTCTGTGCATTTGGACTTTCTAAAACATTCTGATGATTTATATCAGAGTGATTTTCTCAGGGGAGAAGTCGTAAGGACCTGAGATAATAAATCGTCCCAGCATTTATTCCAGCCTGTATTGCAGAACAGGTCGGTGCACAATTTAAGTGAGGTTGAGCATTTCTTCCTTCCCCAGTTTCAAAGACGCCCAGAAACTCAAAGCATTCTCTGTCTTGTACTCCTGCACCAAAAAATTAATGCAAACTTAGGAACACAAGTTTTCCTATGCTAGAGATACAATGAGCATTGTAGCTCTGGTCCAAAAAAATCCCACAAATTCTTTTCTGTTCTGTTTAGGTTGTTGCATTCTGGGTCCCCTGGTTACAACTGAGAGAGGGAGTTTCTGGAACCTATCCATTCCTAAATACTTGTCATGCCTGTCATTTACAGGTACTTCTCCGGGGATTCATTTACTCTGTTTCCCAATGGCACTGGGACTGGCTTCCCTTCCTCTACTACATCTCTCTTTGTTCCAACACCACCCAGTATTCTCCAGCTGACAAACCAGCAGCTCTTCAGGTCCCCACGCAGAACTTCTTCTTCCTCTCTCCCTGGACGTCTCAACAGAGCACTCTCTCTGGGTACCATCCCCTCCTTGGCCAGAGCAGGTAAGGCAATGGAAAGAAGGAACCCATTAGATTTAGATTCTTTTCATTCCAAATATTTTGGGGGAGGGTCATTTATTTTATTTTTAGAGACTGTTGGGCAGATCTGTTCCACTGCAGCTGGGAGAAGGTCATTATTCTGACTCTGGTATTTAGGAATTTATTTAGGAAAATGGAGACTTTTTTTCTTGCCTAAACTTAAAGCCCCTCCCCTTCTGAGGTTGATGACAAGATGAAGCAGTTACCTTTTCAAGGATAGACCTCTGGTAGCTGAGCCATCTAGGTTCAAGCTATTTTGTTTTTGCTTTTTAGATTCTGGCTACTTGTTCAGTGGAAGTCGTCCGGCGTCGCAGTCATCTCAGTCCAAGGAATCTCCCACATCAGGTAATGCACTGAGGCTTCTGAACAAGCATCTCTGCAGGATTTGCAGTGGGTGGATTGAAACTTGTGATCTTAGTTTAATTCTTTCCTCCCTGCTCACATCCCAGTGAAAGCATTGATGAAAATACTGCAGAGATAATTCCAACTAAGATTGAGATTGCATTAAAATAAGACTTGGACATTCTTCTCCCTGAGAGAGCTTACACTGAAATCAGTGAGACAAAGCAAGGATCCCTTCCCTACTCCATATGTGAGCTGAGATTGCTTTGAAATGAGACTTAAAATTGTTCTTAGGGCAACTCTTCTGTTTTGCTTTCCTGCCCTAGCCCACAGAACTGGTAATTTAGCTATGCTGTCTGCTCTGCCCTTTTGAACCTGTCTGTTGCACTCCTGACCCCAGATGGATCATGGGCTGTTTGTGCTGCTGCAAATGCAGCAAACTAGTATACCTTATCCTTGAATGTACCAAAGTGTATGTGGAATTTCTCTGTGTTTTGCAATGCATGAGAGAGAGAAACTGAATGAATTATGAATTTTAGTACAAGGTATGTTGGTTGTTTGCAATTCCTGTTCTCTCTTCCTTAACAGCTGTTAAAGAAAACTGTGCCTCTTTTATTGGAATTGTGATCTCTTTTCTCTTCTGGGATATTTCCATTTCAGAGCACTTCTCCCTGCTGTCAGCCAGCTGTGCTCCATCACGCATCCCCTCTCCAGCACCATCAGTGGCTGGCTCTGTGACTTCCAGCTCAGGTTCCTTGCGGTACCGCCGGCCACTCATCAGCCCTGCCCGACTGAACCTGAAAGGACAGAAGCTGCTCCTTTTCCCATCTCAGAATGAGGCCCTGCTCACCCCAACCAGCTCAGAGGCGCACACCCACTCAGACAGCAACATCTTTACAACTGAGCTGTCCTCGTTTCCGAAAAAGAACCTCAGCGAGCGGGGAATGCATGGTATGCTGGCAGCCTGCTGCACTCCTGGAAATGCATTTGTGGGATAGAGTAGGATTGCAAATAAAGTTGTGCATCATCTAGGCCGTATGGTAGATGGGAAATCTTTAGGCAGGACTCAGGTGGAGATGATTATTAGGCTACCAAAGCTCCCTTATGAATTCACTGGCCTGGAGAACCACTGTTCTGCCGGAGCAGATGTCCTGTTCTCACTGAGTGGTGCCACAGGAATACTACTGCCACTGCCCTTAGCCTTGTTTGGTAAGTCCTTTAATCATGGTTCTGGTGATGCTGATATGGACAACTTATGAAAAACAAATTTGGCCTTTATTTCCAGCTCCAATCCTCAATCTTTTCATGATTTTACCAGGCAAGCGTTCATTACTCACAACCACCTTTAGGCTGCTTTTGTCTTCCTTGCTTTTTATACTGCTTTTGTCTTCCACCGGTGCCTTCTGAATTTTTATACCTCTTTTTGCAGATATGAGATCTGCTGTAGAAGGAGGCAGTATTTGCAGCAATAATTCCATCAGAAAGGAGGATCACTCATCACACTCATCTACCTGTGTGGTAGATACAACTACCAAAGGAGAAGATTTGGTGGGCTGGAGAGGTGAGTGCAAGTCCCATGGGTGCTTCAGTGTGCCCAGGAGGGCAGCTGAGATCTTTCCTGTGGTAGTGATCTGATCTTAAGGTCAAAGAAATAAGTAGCAAAAGCAGTTCCCCTCTGCTATTTTAAACCCTTAACAAGATTATTCCTATTCTTTGGGCCATTTGAAGAGTAGTGACAGGCAGAGTGCTCAGCTGGGACTGAGGGCAAGGGGTGGGGATGTGGGTGTTTAGAAGAGGGACAAGATGCAAATAGAGCTAAGGAGTGCAGTGGAATCTTTCCTAACAGGAAAAGTACTTCAGAAATTCCTGCTTACAGTGAAAACATTGGACAGAGAGAATGCAGCATATGTTATTTTGTTATTTATCTCATCAGTTCTTTTAACATCTCCTCCTACTGTTCCTTTCTCTCTTTGTATTCTCCTTTTCCACCAAGGTCATTTTGGTAACTCTGCTCTCCGAGGTCTGCTGGCAGTGAGTCTGACTCTCAATGCTATCTTCACATCAGCCTACGTCTACCGGAGCCTGCGCTGATTTGTGCCAACACTTCCTTTCTTACTGGTCCCACCTGCTTCTGAGAAAACTCCTTGACAAGATGAATTTAACCACAGTTTCATATCTAATGGCCATGCCACTGGTGCATGCTGGTTTTTTTTTTGTTTGTTGGTTTTGTGTTTTTATAATGACTGTTAAGTCAGCTGTCATGACAAGGAACCCTATTGGCTGCTGCCATCACTTCCAGGTAGAACAGATCACAGGATTGTCCCTGGAGGTGGCGAGCAGAACTCTCAGAAAGCCCTATAGTTCAAAGCCAGAGGCTGTTCAAATGTTCCATACGCTTTCTTTCGAATGAACTGACCTGAGACATGAGCCTGAAAAGGTGTACACTGTAAGGAATGTCCCCTCAGCTCTTTGTCCTGACATACTAACCTCATGCTGACGGTGCTGTTAAAACGAGAATTAGAACAAACGAGCTGAAGAGGACACACAGCTTAGTAGTTGATGCTGGGCTTTGTCTACAGTAACAGCATTCTGAACCTCTTTGGCCAGTGGTTCCTCTTTTCCCTTTCCTTTGGCACTCTCTTCTCAATTACCAACGAACTTTTCTTTGGTTGTCTTAAGCTTGCCTGATCACATTGCTTACCCTGACTGCTCTGTCATATTTCTTGCATCTTATATGATCGTGTGCTTCCACCCAGGCTCTGCCCTGAGGCTACTCTCACCAACTGCCATTCTGATCTTCCCAGAAACTTCTCTGGTGCATACCTCCAACCAGTGCTGTTGTAGGGATGTACAAATCCAAAGCAGACATCCTTTTGTGGTTTGCATTAGAAAGAGGAAACCTAAATTTTATTTTGTGCAGGAGACATTAATTCTGTTGTAATAAGAAGGGATCCCCACTGGAAGGGCTTTAGCTCCCACCTCCAGCTGCTGGTGTTTTCACTGAAGCAGGAGTGGCATAGCTTGTTCTTGCTGTAAATTGCACGTATCTGTTGGGAGGTACTTGAGGAGCTGTCTGATTGTATACATTGTGTAAAACTGGCTCCTCAGTTTGATTCTGGGATTTGCAAAGTAATTATTTAAGATATTTCATAAACAAATACCACGGTGCTCTTAGTGAGAGATGCCAGAGCTGCTTCTGCTTTCTGGAAAGATAGTTTTTCTAACCCAAAGAAAGTAGCATTAGGTTTTCAAAAACAGCTTATAATTTGAGTGCTTCCACTTCTGGGTGAGTCATCAGCATGGCTTAGAGTTCAGGGGCCATTTAGAGTATCATGCTGAGCACTCAAAATTATTTAATACATCTTAGGAAGAAAAAAAAAACCCACAATCTTTATGCCTTGATTCTTAAATCCCAAATACAGAGAGAACTACCAACATGCCAAGGATACCTGGTGAAAAGAGAGCCAACTGGCATACTAGCTATGTATTTTCTGAAACTGGACTCACACTGTTAAGAGTTTTTCTATCGTCTCTTCCTTTGGTCTCCTTTACCTCAAATATCCTTTCTCTTCCCTTTCTCTTCATCCCATTGTCCTGTGTTTGCATCTTGAATTACAGTTAACCTTCCTGTGTCTTCCTCTTGGTCCTGCTTTTGTTCCCCTTATTGCACTCTTGCATGTGCACAGAAACACAGCATCTCTCTGCTGATAATTCTCTGCCCTACCCTGAAATTCACACCCTGGAGTGATGATCACCCTTCCTTTCACTTCACTTTTTTACTTGCATGTTTTATTGAGATCCTACCACAGCCTCACTTAGCACCTCACGTGAGCCCAACCCTAATCAGCATGCCATGTAACAAAGTGAGCAGGGCTTTACTGCTGATTCAAGCTCTGAAAAATTAAATCTCTCATTGTCTCTTCCATTTCTTCCTGCACTATTTTAGCAGTCCTCTTCCAGCCACTGCTCCCCATCCCCCCTTGTTAGTGAGGCTAGTTGTTGCCTACTCTGCATCTTGCATGCAGAGGACAGACCTCTGGCCATGCACTCACTGAGAGACTGCAGAGACCTGGCTGCCAGCATCCCTGTGCAGAGGTGTAGATCCAGGATAAATACCTGCAGCAGAAATAACTGGATGTGCTGCAGGTTGATGGTTAATTCTTTTGTAACTTGCATGAATTGTTACTTATAGCTGAACCTGACCCACAGCGTTGCTGTTATGAGCTTTTTATCCCCTTTATAGACTTGTGCAGGCTCACACAAGCATGTGTATAGAAAAAATGCTAGCAAACCAACATAGAAGCTTCTCCTTAGACCTGTGCTGTTTGCATTTGATGTTGTCCAGGTGTAACGTGTGACATCCCATTTGTGGATCCTTGTCCTGACTTCCACCATACCCAGGGGCTGCCTATGCAGAGACAAGCCTGCCAGAAAATACAGTGGTTTTGCTTTTTATTACGCTGACAGAAGCGCACTGTGACTTCATGTATGCAAACTTCCTACTTTCACCTCCCAGTCTGCGCTGAGTTCATTTACCATCACACTCACCTGGGGCCCAAGTTGGTCTCTGTCTCTACCAGATTGCAATATAGAAATTCCCCTCCTTTCCAGCAACGAAGGAGCTGCACCCTCTGAATGCACCTCTTGTTGCCCAGAGCAGGAATGCTTTAAGCTGTTACTGCACTTCTGAATCCACTCACTGAAGCTGTTCTTAGATGAGCATGTGGTGACCTTGTCCAAAGCAATATAAAGACTTTGGATTTTATTGCTGAAGAGGGAAGACAACCAACTTTCTCATTCTGGTGCTAGAATACTCTCCAGTGGTGCTTTCACAGATGTGAAGCCTTTGCTTGAGTAGTACACAAGAGTATATGTGTGTATGTGTGTGCGTGCATATGTATGAAAACATTTGGAGGGTTTCTTCCTTTTGAAAGATCTGAACCCACGTTTGTCTTTATATTGTTGGCCTTAATCTAGCTCCTAGATACTGTGTCTATCTTGCTGCTGTTTTCTGTATGAAGCTGGTTTGGAGGAGAGGAAAGATCATCTGGTTCCCCTGTAAAATATTGTTGACTGGTGATGCTGATCTTCATACAGTGTTGTTTGGGGGTGAAATTTTATTTTTCTAATGTTTTTCCTACTGTAAAAAAACTGTTGGAGTGTTTGGAACTGAAAAGATCATTATGAAACGGACTGTCTGATTTAAAGATTTTAGTGCTACTTAATAAAAACCACAATCAATCTTAAGGTGGAACATAAATGAGCTCCATTTCCATTCTCTGCCTTCCTCGGAACATTGTACTTCTTTGGGTGTGGGCTTGTTAGTTATGTTATGAGACTTGGCAAAGACTTTTAATGATTTTGTTGTTCTGAATTAGGAAGGATTTGGATTCTAGAACCTTGTTCCAGTTCTGCAGCATGGGTGCAGCTTGGCAGATGCCATAGATGTGATACACATACCTATTTGATGGCACGGATGGAACCAGTCGCTGATTTCTGAAAGTCATCTTTTACCACAAAGCTTAGACATGAAGTTGGTCACTGTGGCAACGTGGTAAAACTTATTGCTGGCATCCATGGGCCAGATTCACTGGAATTTTGCCTGTCTGCTCAAGCAACAAATTCAGCTTGTGAATGTTTTGTTCTCACTCTCTTCTTGGGTAGTGGGAACATCTGTAAACGCTGCTGAACTGCCTGGGTTCCTTTAAACAAGGCAGCTGAAATGAAGGGCTTGTGTTGCCTGTGGATGCTGCTATGTTCTTTTTCTTCCAAGTACCATTCCAGGAAATAACTGTGGTCTTAACCTCTATCACACACATCTGTTAGAAGGCTAGAAAGGGCCAGTTTGGCCAATGAGAGTTAAATTTTAATTATGTATATATACATACACACACGTGTGTGTTTATATATACGTGCACATATGCACATTGCAATAGAGAGTAATCATCACTGTTTTGAATGGAATTGGTATCTAGAAAGGGTGTGGAGGACAATTTTGAGTCCTAAACCTTATTTCCTGAGACAGAAACGCTGTATGTCATGTATGTGTACTTGTTTGGGGAGCTCTGACACTGTACAGTTTAGTTAAATTGTACTCCAGGGGGAGACACTGTTCCTCGGAGGTTTTTAGTTCATACTTTGTGTTTAAAGAGGAATATTTTTCTTTAAAAAATAAAAATGGAAAAAAATTTCACCTTATAATGATTTTATTTCTTGGGGAGCTGAATGTTTGCTGGGGGGCAGGGAGATGCTATTTGGGTTTGTGTGTGTGTCTGTGGTCAGATTAGCTTTGATCTCTTTCCTCTGATGAGATCTGAAATGAAAAGCGTTCCACTTTGAAAGCTTTCCTTCAGTTAAAGCAAAGTCATCTCCTGCTGTAACTTCTGAGGTAAGGCATTGCTGTCCTGAGCTCACGTAGGACAGGGTCTGCCTTTTATGTTCCTGTTTCCTTGGAGCCCTGATCTTGACTGATGCTGTAGGCTGGCCTGCTATCATCTCACACAAAACCACACAGCATTTTGGCAGACAGAGGGTGGAATAAAGGGGTTCTGAATGCAGGTTGTCCTGCTCCAGTCATCCTCCAAACGTGTACAGGCAGTGAGAAAACCAAGAGGAACGTTTGTATGGGTGTAAGCTGAGAACGACAGGCTGAGCGTTTCCCTTCTCTGTGCGTTTCCCTCAGCTCTGTGCTACAACTTTTGGAGAAGAGGAATTGATGCCACCCAGACCAGTGAGCCGTGAGTTCGTTTACCCATTTATTAACTGCGAGCAAAAAAAGGAGGGCTTATTAACCAGTAATCACTGGCTAAGGCAGCGAACTGCCGTCCAGCTGGGAGTTCTTTACAGACCCATTTGGACGCACTGTGTGTCCCGGTGGTGGCGGTGCTGCTCTCCGCTCAGCTGCTGCGGGTGGCGAACGGACCCGGCGTGGATCCGAACCCACGAATCCCGGCGTGCGGCTCGATGGCCCCGATGTGCCCGGAGGTGAAGCGCCCCATCCCCGCGCCGCGTTCCCCCGCTGTGACCCCGTGCCCCCGAGCTGCCCGCCGCACCTGCCGCCTTCTCCTTCTGCCGCGCTTGGGTTTGCCGAGGGAATGCGCCGTCCTGACCCGCCCGCGACCCCCAACCGCTCCGGGGATGGGGAGGGGAGGGAGGGAAAAGGGCTCGGGGGAGCGCAAAGGACAGAAGCGGCGGTGCCATGGGGGACGAGGCGCAGCTCCCCTCGGGCAGCCCGGCCCTTCAGAAGCCGCCTTACACCTACGCGGCTCTCATCGCCATGGCCATCCGGGCCAGCCCCGAGCAGCGCCTGCCGCTCAGCGGCATCTACAGCTACGTCTCGGGCCGCTTTCCCTATTACCGCCGCGGCCCTAAGGGCTGGCAGAACAGCATCCGCCACAACCTCAGCCTCAACCCCTGCTTCCTCCGCCTGCCCCGCCGCTCCGGCGCCCCGCACCGCGGCGGCGAATGGGCTCTGGACCCCGCTTTCCAGGACGCGTTCCCGGGGGGCGATCACCGCCGCCGCCGCCGCCGCCCGGACCTCCCCCCCCCGCCGCCCCCCGGCTGTCCGTGCCGTGCCCGCCCCGCTCTGCCCCGCGGCTGCCGCTGCTCCGATCCGCCCGCCTGGAGCCCGCCCTGCTGCCCCGGTGCCCAACAAGCGCTGCTCACCTGGAGCCCGTCCTGCTGCCCGGGTTGCCAACGAGCGCCGCCCGCCTGGAGCCCGCCCTGCTGCCCGCCCTGCTGCCCGGAGTCCCCGCAAGCGCAGCCCGCCTGGATCCCGGAGCCGTCCCCAGCGCTGCCCGCCGGGAGCTCGGCTTCGTCCCCGCTGCAGCTCGCCTGGCCGCTGCCCAGCGTCGCCTCTGCCGCCCAATGCCCGCCCGAGCCGGGATCCCGCCGCCCTCTGGCCGCCAGCAGAGCCCCGGTGCTGCCCTGAGGCTTCCAGCTTCCGTCCTGCCCACTTTCCTGGGGATGCGACTTGTAGATGTCAGAAGCGTGCGAAGGAAGATTGGTCTGGAAGATCCTTGTTGGTTGAGCAGCCCCCCGTTGCGTTGCAGTGGCTGAGATGTGCTGCCGCGTTTCACATTGCTGTCAGTTCAGTTAGTTTGTCTGTTCAGATTTATTGGTGTTCGAGCCTTAAGACCACCCTAAAGGGGGCTGCAGAGCTTCGGCAGGCTCACCTGTGTGTTGTCTTCTTGAATCTGGAAGTATACAGAAGCTCAAGGGATGCCAGTCCTTGTGCAAGTGAAATTTGGCTTTGCTACAGGCACAATATTTTTGCAAGTGTCCTTAAACTCATTAACTCGTTCTTGAGCTTTCATTTCAAGCTTTTATATATATATATATATATATATAAATAATATATGTACTTTTCAGTTTGATAGAGAAAAAAAATAACCAACCCACAAAGATCTTTGAAGTAACGCCAGGAATCTGATTTCTTTGTATTTAAAGCAGAGCTATATGAGGTTTTGTATACAGCCAGGGTTTATTTTATATTGCTGCTTCTTACAGATGTTTGCACACATTTGTTCTGAACGTTTTCCTTCTAAGTGATGCTCTATTTTATGAGGATGTTTCCCCCTTTTAATTTCAGAGTCATTTCTGTGCTTCCCCCTAGAAATAAGGCTCAGGGACAAAGTGTGCTTCCAGTAAGGGTTGTATTTCAGTTTGTTAAGGAAAAGTTCAAATACAGTTTGTGCAGAGCAGCACTTTGCCATACTGACGTTTTATGAACTGTTCAATACTCCTTGTAGGAGCTCACGGCTTCAGTTCTTCAGCAAGAACTGATTTTTTGTTCATCCTTAGAGAAGTTGGGGCTTAAATCTGGATGTGCAGTTTGTATTTTGCATTTTCTTGTACTTAAGAAATGATTCCGGACGTTGCCTTTAAATTCTAACAATGCAATGTCAATAAAACATGGGAATGCTGTAAGATTCAGCCAGGTGACAGCTTTGAGGCTGTTCCTACAGGATGCACATTAAAGACATTGCAGCTCTGTTATTCCCCACGTTGCTCTCTGTCTCCCTGCAGTCACCCCTGGTGCCCCCATCCTATCAAACCAACACAGCACCCACAGTGGAACACAGCTATGAAAGAACTGTTGCATGTTGAAGCCAGCAGTCAATCTGCACGTAAGGACAGCAGAGACCTCGAGGGTTTTGTTCTGGAGAAGTTTTTTGGTCCCTGTTGTGGTTTTGGTCATATATGAATAATGCACGTTTGTGAAACTACCGCTGCTGCGTTTGGGGTATGAAGTTTGACATCTGGACAGTCATTAATTCCACTGTGCACAACAATTATGAAAATAAGCAGAGTTTCTGAAAGCTGGTGTGTGTGTGTGTGTGTGTGTGTGCTTCTCACCTTGCTTTTCCAGCTGAGTTGTGTTTCCTTACCAGTTAGCATGACTTCGCATCACTGGTTTACATGCTGGGAGAAAAGAAGAAGGAGCGCCCCTTTCCCCCTCCTTGCCAGGTCTCCCCTAAGTTGTCCCGAGGGTTTTTCTCTGCTCCTTGCTTTCTGGCACCTGCGGGCTGTGGGCTGAGCCACCTCTGTCATACAATTGTGCACAGAGGCTGTGGAGCTGGGACTGCCAAGAGGGACCTCCTGGGCAGACTGCCTCGTGGGGGCTGCCTGCACACACAAGAAAGGGGAACAAGAGCTGATTGCATTTCTGGAGGGGCTGTGCATGTTTTCTCCAGCTCACCTGCTGCCAAGGGCAGGTGTCAGCAGCCCTGATCAGGTCCTGGCAGCTGCAGTCCATCCACACTAATGAGGCCCAGAAGTTTCTATGGGGGGTGTGGGTGGAGGAGCTCCTGGGTTTTATGCTTTCTGTTCCCCTGCAGGGAGATCTACCCCTGTCTTTTTGGATTTGGGATTGCTTTTGGAGCATATCTCTATCTGGTCTAGTGGCTGCCTGGCAGGGCATGGCTTGGGTAAGTGATGATGATTTCTCTTCTCCATCAGGGGCTGCTCTCTGCCTTCCCTGTTATGAGTGCCATCTCCTGTGTGCACCCACCAACACGTGGATAAGGCTGAATTTAAATTTGTAAAGCTTCCTCTTTCCCTATTGCTCCTCTTGAAGCAAGAGATAGTAAGCCCACAAAGTGGGTTGTATAGGCTCAGTACTGGTTGTTCTTGAGAGGCTCAGGGGTGCTCAGCAGCTCTCTCAAACCCAGTGTGAGAGATGGAGTCACGCACCTGCTGTACTACATGGCATGCTGTGTCAGGATGCTGTGATCAGAGTGATCCTCTGCCCTCGTGCCTGCTGCCAGGGCCTGGGGCTCTTAAAGGGACTTTGAGCAATCTGGTTACGTTGCTAAGAGTTACGTTTGTGCTTTATTGGTTCCGTAGCTTTCCCGTTTGTGTTTGCCACTAGATGGTGCGTTTGTACCAGCACAGCGAGCCTGGGGGTGGCTGTCAGTGAGGCTGCGATGGTCTTCAGTGATGATGACTGCATCTCCTTCTCTTCTAGAAAATGAAACGGGGAGGGGTGTGAAAGGGAGATAGGAATGGATGTTCGGCTGCAGTGGTTCGTTCCCAGCAGCATCCCCTGTTATCTTGGGCTTGGTTCATTTTCCTTAAAGCGATGGCTGTTATGGATGCATTCAAACAGATGTAGGCAGAATGTACTGCATTCCTTGTGAGAACAGTAGGGACACACAATGGGGAAGATATCTGGGGGCCAATTATTAGGATCGCAGAGTGCATTGGTAGGGACTTTGTGCTTTTCCCCCTTTCACACTCCTTATTTCTCCTGTTTTGTCACTTAAGGTAACCACGAATAAAAGAGGCACAGTTCCATTGGCAAGCAGTTAGGTCTCCTGCAGGAATGTGTTGGTGTGATTGCCACAGAGTGAATCATCTGTTCTAGCAGGCTCCTTTCTCCAGACATCCTTCAACTGTAAGCAGGGATGGTCTCTTCCAAGGGATGATTCAGATCATTTAGATGAAGTCCCTGCTCTGAATCACTCTTTGTAGGAGTTCCTCTTCTTGTTAGTTATTTGAAAATTCGGAACAAACAGCCTAAGAGCACAGGAAAACTTGTGCCAGCACAATGAGGTGCTGGGAATCTCCCTCGGTTTTGTTCAGGAACTCATGCACAGCCTTCTTGCTTCTCTGGTTGGAATAGAAAACTGCAGCACTGACTGCATTTAAATCAGAGAGATTGTTCATGCTTTGCATGGCT